ACTGACCAAAACAGGCAAGGTGGGTCTAAACACCAGGATTCAAACTGCCTATGGTGATCTTTTTTAGGTGTGAAAATAGTGTTAATTTAAACAGTAATAAAAACATTTTTCAAGTTGTTGCTTACATGTGTCAAGTGTGTTAAAACACACAAGTCACAGGAGGGACAAAACTTATAATTTTTTTTTCAATGAATTCCCCGTGGTGGGATAAATAAATGAGTCTGAATCTGAAACTTTGCATAATGACTGCATAACAAGCCTATAACAAGAGTGAAGCTCTTACCATCACAGTTTGGGCTGCGCTGCTCCCTCATTTATAAAGTTGTCCTCATAGAAATAAGTTTTAAAATGTTTAACATTGCTTCATTAGGATGTGAAACATCAGGGGTAATAGTACTCTCCCCGCTACTAGGGCACTGCAACTTCAGTCTTTTTTTGAAAATCACAAGTTTTTTTTTGCCTCTTCCGCCTTCCAGCCTGAGTTCTGGATCTACAGCCTGTCTGTCCATGGGAGAGGATCCCTATCTCAATGTTGGCCTTCTCGAGGTTTTGTATTTTTCCCCACTGGGTTTTTGAGTCCCACTGGGTCTAAGAACAGTGATCATTGGGGATATTTATAGACATTGGTCTTCCCGCTCCATACGGACTAATGGCTCCTATTTTTGTTTTCATTGTATTCCCTGTGTTTGAACTGTTTGATTCTTGAATCTGTTGTTGACGAACCGACAATTTTATAAAGTTCTCCGAGACGACTGCTGTTGGGATTTAGGGCTACACACAAATACATTGAATTGAATAGCATTTTTGACTGACTTCCCAACAATGAAAAGCAAACACAAGTCTAAACAACTCGCCAACCTTTCCCATGTTGTGTTGTCCCGGGTCGACAAGCTATTTTGAGTGAACCGTGAACCGAACTGAGACAACCAAATGAAGCAGCATAAAATGGCAACAATAATCCATCCAACCACGCAGATGGATTGAACCGGACTATAATCGTTGCTAATAAAACGATGAACTTTTGTTAGAGAAAACCAGACTTAAATAAGTACCACGGTGTCGGCAGTAATCATTTGACTGCCAGAACTCCTTTATTTTAATCTCAGTGAAATGGATACAGATTGGTTTGCTTTAAAAGGATTACAGCGGATTATAAAATGGCTCTAATGTAATCCGCGTTTCAGTTCATTCTCTCCTCTGCAGCTTTGACTTTTCTTTGGAGTTTTTGAGCATATTTCTAATGCCATTAACAGGATTCTGCTCATTCTCTCTCGTTTAACTGCTTTGTCCCTTTTGACCTTAACAAGTTTTTGTCGAGGAGTACGTTCATTGATGTTGGGTTTGTGTTGCGGTGGAAAATTCCTCTGTGCCTGTAACTGCAATGTAGATAATGGGAAATTTTTCTGGATCAAACTTTACTGTTTTTTTGCTTCCGTCTTTCATTTTGATAACTTCATTTGCATTTGAGGCTTGTTTCCCGAAAAAAAACACACACACGCATAGGTACACGGAAAAACTTCCAAGCACACACACACACACTCACACACACACAAACAAGTGTAAATAGACACATGCTCATACACACTCACAGACATAAGCAGGTAAACAAAAACACAGAGACACACAGACATACACACACACACACACACACACACACGCATAAACAGGAACTCACATACACACACAGACATAACCAGGCATACAAATACACACACACATGAAAAGACACATGCACACTCATACACACAGAGACACACAGACATGCCTAAACAGGCACTCACATACACACACACACAGACATAAGCAGCCATACAAATACACACACACTCACGCACAAATAGGCACAGACAAACACACACATAAAAAGACATATAAACATGCACACATACACAAACACACACAAACACACACACACACACAGAGTGGATATTATGTCAACAAAGGGAGAGTGGGGGAAATAATAGTTCCTGTTTGTTAATGAAGCAAATCGTGAGAAAGTTTTTGAGCCTGATACAACACAAAGATAACTGTCCAATCAGGCACAAGTATGAGCGCAATACTTTGTGTGATTGGAGAATTATCAAATAATAAGCAACATAAAAAACTACATCTTTGTTTTAAGTTGGTTGGGAAAGGTTTTGAAGTTAAATCTGTTTAAACTTGAGCTATATATCAGTCTGTTTGAGACTTGCACTTGCAGTAGTTAAAGATAGTTATGGTTATAGTAGGAGTAGCAGTTTCAATTCAATTCATTTTTGTAAAGGCCGTACATCACATCAGCAGTTGTCTCGGAAGACCTTACAAAGTTGTTGATTCACGAACAACAGATTAGAGAATGAAACAGTTCGAACACAGGGGAGGCAATAATTACACATAACACATAGAAGCCATAGGGAGTGAGATGACCAATGTCCTCAATGTTCATAAATGTCCCGGATCATCACTGTCCTTAGGCCTTCCTGCATCGGTTAGGAACAAAGGGGAAAGCCCACATAGAGAGAGGGATCTGCTCCCATGGACAGACAAAGATCCTGGGTTCTGTCCGTTCATGTAAAGCCTCCAATCTCTACATTACAGCAAAAAGGTGGGTAACAAACATACAACATGTTATCAGTGGTCTTATTTGGGCGGCACGGTGGCTGAGTGGATAGCACTCTTGCCTCTCAGCAAGAAGATCCTGGGTTCGAATCCCGGTCGGACGAGGACCTTTCTGAGTGGAGTTTGCGTGTTCTCCTGGGTCTGTGTAGGTTTCCTCCGGGTACTCCGGTTTCCCCTGCCACTAAAAATATGTACGATAGGTCTGGCATGCGCCTCCTGTTCGGCGACCCCGCTCCCATCTCTGTGTGGAGTGAGAGACAATAGCCCAAAAATTGTAAACCGCTTTGTGACTCTGGTCTGTGAAAGGCGGTATATAAATAAAGATTACTTACTTATTTCCTTTTCTTTTTAGTAGATAAAAATGAATGTATTTATTTCATGTATTGATCATTATGTAACTAGGACACCCCTCTCGAGGTTCAGAATCTCGTTTTCTGGAGTCTGGGCCCCAGTGAGGAGCCTATTACGGAAGGGGAAACATATATGCAGACACAGGGAGAATATGCAAACCCTAACAAACACATCCCCTTTTCTCTGAGATGAGAGCGCTAACTGCTGCACCACTGAGTCGCCCCAAACTTCTGAATCTAGCCTAAAAGAAAACAAATGTTGATGAATGTTCTTAGAATTTATAGTGTGCTACTACTTCCATCATGATAAACATTAGTTGAACTTTATTTAACCAGGAAAGTCCCTCTGATGCAGAATCTGTGTATTACTATTATTATAACAGTCTATTTAAATAACACTGTACTAAATCAGTTTTGTTAGCTTCTTGCAGCACTGATCCATATGCCAGAGCGTGGGCAGGAACAAATAACATAAGCATTATGTTCCATACACTTTTTATAGTCAGGGAGCCACATGTAGAAAATGTAAATATGAGATTGAAGAGTTTTCACAAATCAATTTTTAATAAATGAAAGATAAATACAGATAAATAATAGTGCTGTCCAACGATTAAAATATTTAATCGCGATTAATCGCATGAATTTCATAGTTAACTCGCGATTAATCGCAAATTAGTCACACATTTGCGTGCTGTGTGCAATTGCTTTTTTTTATTGAAAACAATGTGTAGTGTTATATTACACACTAACATTTGATGCAAAATCATCAATAAATGGATGACAAAATAAATAATTGGTGACAAAAAGCCCCTTCAATGTGTGTGTGTGTGTGTGTGTGTGTGTGTGTGTGTGTGTGTATGTGTGGGTATAGACCATAGACTGTATAGAAACATCATGGTGTCATTATGATGATGATAAACAATCTGTAAATATTTTGTAAATTTGTTCATGTAAATACTCTATGCTGTTTCTCTGTTTACTTTTGGTATATCTATGACTGTATACTGTTTGCTTGTATTGCCTTTTTTATTAACCCCTCCCCCCATCTCCCACTTCATGTCCCCCCCCCCCCTCCCCTCCTATGTGCCCTTCTGGGTTTCTTCTTTGGCCCCCTGTATCTCCAACTACATATTGTTTGTAATCTCTGTCTACAATGTATCTGAACTAGTCCTTTTCTTTGTTTCTATCTTTTTTTCTGTATATGTGTTTGTCTGCAATAAAAAGTAAAAAAAAAAAAAAAAATATATATATATATATATATATATATTTTTTTTTTTTTTATCGCGCGATAAAAAAAATGACGCCGTTAATATTGATTTGCGTTAACGCGTTAATAACGCGCTATTTTGGACAGCCCTAATAAATAATAATTCGTTCAAAAGCCTTTATGTTTTACTAAATAATATCCAATACGTTAATATTGACCTTGTATCACATTGAATGTCTCTTGTATCTAAATACCTATTGTGTGATTTGTGTCATGCGGTGTGAGATGTCTATTGTGTGTATTTAGATGTGTAGATACTTTATTGATCCCCGTAGGAGAAATTCAAGTAGTAGTGAAGTAGCAGCAGAAACACATGCCTTCATACAAACGAAACAAATAAATGGATTATTCTAAAAAAATTCTGGTCCAAAGTAAAATGCTTAATGCTTTGTTTGCCTTTTTCAAGAAGTTAGCATTTCTCTAGTGGATTTTTGCCTGATCCAGTTGATTCGGACCATGAATATAATACATTACAATTGTATTACTTTTATTATTTTTCATGCCTGCCTATACATGTCTTTATTGCATATGTTCTAACTTGTTTGTCATATATCAAACCACACTCCTAGTTTGTATCTTACGTACAATGGCTATCAACAAAATTGATTGATTGATTCTAATCCCGAGATGTTTCAAGCCCTATTGATGACCCACCTCTTTTACATCCTTTATGCTATATAAGTAAATAAACATAAAAACCACCAGGCTGTATAAAACCATGGATCTACTACAGCAGCTCTTTAACCAGCGTGAGAAAGTTTACAAAAGCAAAAGGATCCATCCAATCAGAGGAACTCCTCCCAGACCGCTCCTGATTGGCCGCCTCCTCTGTCAATCTTGACCGTAGGGGCGGGTCCTCGCAGTGGGATGGACCGCCTATGCTCCGAGTCCACTTTATACTCACACCGACAGGACAGTCCGAGGGGAGGCACGTCCGCTGTCTTCTCACACTCTCCAACACAAACACAAACACGCGCAGAAAGTTTAACCAACACGAAGAAGATTCCAGAAAGTCACGGGAAAAAGGCGCAAAAGTGGATCGTTTAGTGTGACAGTGACCGCTCTCATCCATCCATCCGCTATGTCGCTCACCGGGTCTCCTCCACTCCTCACCCCGGGCTCTGGCGCTCCCAACCCGGGCTCGCTGTACCGACCTCCCGGTGAGCATACTCCAACCACAACCACCACCACCAATAACAACACAAGCAACAACACCACGACGTCTTCAGCCTCTCTAAGCGCCGCCGTGATGTCACCTAGTCCGGGGTACACAAATAACAACAACACCTCCAACCTGTCTCCACGCATGCTGGCTACTTTCTTACCCGGGCATGGCGCGTCTCTCTCGGTCAACTCATCCATGGCTTCTCCCGTGACTACCGCTGGAGCTTTGAGTGCACTTAGCGGATTCGGAGCTCTCAGCCATCCCATCCACCACCAGCACCAGCACCAGCACCAGCACCAGCAACAACAACACCACGTCCAGCAGTCGAACTTGTGCAGCAGCGAGTGTAAGTTAGTAGAAGTGCACGGCGTGAAGGTGGCGAGTTTCAGCGTGGACGGCCAGGAGCTGATCTGTCTCCCGCAAGTATTTGATCTCTTCTTGAAGCACTTGGTGGGCGGCTTGCACACGGTCTACACGAAGCTGAAGCGGCTGGACATCGCCCCGGTGGTGTGCACAGTGGAGCAGGTGCGAGTCTTGCGGGGTCTGGGCGCGATCCAACCCGGCGTGAACCGCTGCAAACTCATCTCCAGGAAGGACTTCGAGGCACTGTACCAGGACTGCACTAGCGCCAGGTAATTACTTTGTTATTACTTTGAACGTGCTGTTTAAAGGGGATGTACTTAACTTTTTTGCCAGTTAAATAACGCGTGTTGATTGTCTCAGCTGAAATAATTTTGTAAAAGTAAAATGTTGTTAACTAATCAGGCCACCTCTTGCTGTTTTCGCATAATTATAAATCTATTATTTAATGCATACTTGTAAGAAGGATCCTGATGGCTCACTATTTGACGTTTTTGGGAGGCGAGCTGTTTTACTTTTTTAATTTTTCTGTCTTAAAAAAGCTGATCTAATGAGGACGACAATACAGGCATGCCTAACTAGTGATGGAACCAACTTGCTTTGAGAGCGAGGAACTATTGTTAGAAGGATTTGGTGTAGTTCCGTTGTTATTTAAGTACCCCAGCTTTAAATAGCCTTTCCGACTTTTGCCGGTTTCTCTTGTGGTTTTCTGACCCATTATTGGTCAGAAAACGTCCAGAAGGATTTTCCATCACCCATCACAAGTTCATCAAATGTAAAATAGATTAATATGAATTTGTTAGAGTGTCACTGATAGCCTAGAGAAGTTCCCGGACCATAGTTTGAAAACCTCTGTTGGAAGATTGTAAAAAATGTAGGCAAGAAAAACTCAATCCATGCAAAATATTGAAGACAACATGGATCTTGAATAAAATGTAAATAACAGTCACATACACATGATATTAGCAACCTTAATAACACTTCTTTTTTTTGCTTGTTTTGATTATATTATTTATTTTAGAATAAACAGCAATCTATCTACGCTGTACAATGCTGTATTTGAGTCAGTTATGTTCAGAGAGGAGCGAATCAGCAAAGAGACAACCCAGCGAAAGATCAGAGGTGTTCTAAGATTAGAGGAATAACGGCTTGCTTTTGACTTTCTTACTTATTTTAACTCAAAAAGAACTACTCAAGTACAGTAACTTTACTTAAATTCACACTCAGATGGCAGGCTCATCAATGTGTTAGTCCAGACTTTACAGGTTTGACGTGTCCTCAAGCGCGGTTTCAAATGATCCTATTAATGTTTTTTTCCCCCTCAACATTACACACGCGTATACCTGCTTCTTCTGCACGTTTTAAAAGAAACTGAACCTATGATGCTTGCAATAAACACAATATAAATGTCCATTTGTTCACCTGCTCCTATAGAACTCCCTTTTTTTGTCACTTTTTGTATAAAGTTGTGTTCAAAAAGTCTTTTCCGTTGTTTTTTCTCCCTAAGTATACACCTGTCATTGAAAGCCCCGTCTTGTGTTGTGCATTATTGGTAATCCTTCGACTTTTGATCTGTTATACTGTAAAAAAAGAAAAATCTTGCTTTTGTGGCGTACACTCACTTTTCCGCTGTGCCCTGCTTTATTAAGTGGTCGTAAAAGAGGCAAGCCGTCAGTCAACTTTGAACCTTGTTTTTAATATTTAATACAATATTCCACCACATCTGCAGTTTTTCTGGAGCTCCGGGGTCACTCGTTTCTTGCTTACGTTTAGGTATTTTCCATATTCTTTTTAGCAGGGCATAAGTTGTAAATTTTGTGTTATAGAAAAGTACAGTCTTGTCTAATTTTAATCACATTTTAAGTGGGAACTTGAGTTATTTAATTTCAACACTTTTCCCTCAAATTTGAATTGGCCTCTTGCACTTTGAACTTCTGTGTTAGCTTTATTACATGAATCACAAATTGTAATCTTGATTGTCACATAGATATTTCATTGGAATATATGTGTCTCCTTTATGATACCACAAAAGCACCCATAATAACACTTTCAAAACCTTTCAATTACAGTAAACCGTACAAAGATTAAAAGATAAAATGCCAAAAATTCTGATGATTCCGATGAGAGTTACCCCACATTTGACAGTGTCTAGTCCATTCAATAAGCATGGGGCAATAGGTTGTTTTCTTGAATTTTGTAGTAAAACTTGAGCCCTAACCTGCTGAGTGTCACCTAACAAACTGACAACCCAAAAGGGAGCTTCATAGAATATTCCCACACACACACACACACAATGTTCGGATGTTATCTGTAAATCACTATTTGACATTTATTTTTTCAAATCGCTCTAAAGTTTTTCCTTTTATAACTACTTTACACGCTATTTTTTTGTCTTCCGTTCAATCCCGTTTTTTACCTAATTGATCCACCTCTGCTAATCTCGTCCAGCTCCTCCTGCACTGAGCCGCCCACCTCCTCCCCCCCTGTCTCTCTCTCTCTCTCTCTCTCTCTCTCTCTCTCTCTCACTCTCTCTCTCCCTCTCTCTCATCCACCTCCCCCTGTCTCTCCCATGCGTTTCTATTTTGGGGGTGTCCGCACATGTCGAGCTGAATAATGGTTTGTATGAGCGCGCAGGACAAGCCGCGACTCAGGCCTTTGTCCACAGACGCGCTGCTATCATAATAAAATTCCTCCGATGCCTTTCTCACTGACGCTATGTGAGTCTATGGGAACAGGGCCACACCGGGACCTATGCGTTATGTGGCCTATAGAAACCTTCACCTCCTCTTTTTGGTTTTTAAGTTGCCCCGACCATATCTATTTATTTAAGATATGGTCGGGGCAACTTTATTTTCTATGTATTCACTTGTTCACAACTTTGTTTAGAGTTGTGTTTCTTTTCTAGGGACGATGCACAGTTCGGGACATTGACGCTAAAATGAACAACTAGCTGGTTTACGGATCTGTTTTCAGGATACAAGTTGAGGCGTACAGTGTTTTTTGGTTTTTTGTGAAAAGGTGTTTGCGCTGGCACTATAACTTCAAGCCGCTTTTGTCCCACTAGAAATAAATAAATGACTTCTTTCAATGATTTTTCCAAACAATGCTGTTTTGAATCAATATTTTAGATTGGAAAAAGAATACACATGACACCATTTCCTCAGACACTCTTTCCACACTTAAATAAAAATGTTTTTCAGAGTTTTAAACTAAAAAACAACCATTTTTGTCTGGTAGAAATAAAAGAAGCCAGGCAAAAGTTTAATATTGAATGAATGGGACTCTGGGTAATACAGTATGCAATCACACTTTTGTTGTGTTGTTCCTAAGCACTGATTACTGATGTACTCCACTTGCTGGGGTTTAGAAAGAAAGGGTATAAACGCTGTGTTTTATGACTGACCACAATATTTCTATACTTTCTTTCATTCAAACACGTGTGGTGCTATTTCTTTGTGAGTTTTGTGATGAACATTTTTTTTTTTTTAGCTAAAGCCAGTTAACTTTCACCTTAGACTTGCAGCCAAAGTGAGTGCTTCATTCTGCTCTCTGATTGGACGATCTGCCTGAAAAGCATAGTATGGAGCTATTTGACTTTTAATTAACAGACTTTAGCTAAGAAAAGGTTAAACATGATTCGTGCATGTGACCTGTTATCTGGGGACACATAAAAGAACACAAATTCAAGCCATGTTTTTTAAAATTATTTTCTTTAGTTACTTTTTAGTTTGCAAAGAACGTATATAATTGCAGTATTTGTGATTTTCTAATTGCGAACATGAAAATTGTAATTTTGATGCAATTGCAATTCCTGTTGTGCAGCCCACGATCCAGCCAAGGTGAGACGGTTAACACAAAAAGCGACTCGAAGTGTTTAACAAAACCATATTTAAATCAGACAAGGAATTCAAATCATAATTAATCACAGTGCATTAAAAATAGTGAAAATACGATCCTACAGTTTTATGCACAGCTAAAAAAAAATTGTTTTAACCTGGATTTGAACACTGTCAGTATTACCCAGTCTCATTTCTATACGCATGAATCTCTCCTACATGTTAGTGCCATATGAACAAACTCGGAATCTGAGGAGCACCTGGACTGGTCTTCAGCTGGTGCCCGGAGTCTGGACCAAAGATGGGGAGGCAGCATTTCAGATTCATGCAGCTAAAATCTGAAACAGTCTCCCTGAAAATGTGAGACAGACTTTGTGTATGAACTGTGCAATAAAAAAAAAACTTGCCTCGCCTATTTATGAGTTTTTCTATCACCTTTTTTTCCTCTTTTCCCGATACTCTTCTTCCTGCACTGGTCCGTAAAGGCAGAGTTTGCCTTTTTACAGCTCCCCTCAGTTTTCCTCCTACACGTTGGTCTTCCCCTGCTCTCTCTGCTCAGAATTGCCTTTTGATGAACGCACTTGTTTTGGCCCAGACGTGTTGCCGTAGATCGGTTGTCACAGTAGCTCGTGTTTCGCCCTTTCTACGGTTCTGTGAGTATTTTGTTTTGCGAGTGTTGGGTTTCCCTCCGCTTTGTGCTGCTGGGTTATTGATAAAGGTTAAATCGGGTTGACTGAGGTCGCGGACGCTTAGCTGCTGTCTCAGGTTGAAAAAGGAGACAAGATAGGAAACAAGCAAGTTAGTACATCGGAGACGGAGTAGGAGAATTTGCTGCTTTAGTGACTTCAGTAAGCCGAGAGCCGAAAAACAAGTCTACAAGTTTAATTTTCAGAACAATTATACCAATGTTGTATAGATCTTGAATCCATTCATAAGTCTGTAAACTTGTTTGTTACTTTTGTGAAAACAAGGGAAGCAACTTTAAGCCTCATTTCTTTGCATTCATAAATTGTCTTTTTTATTTATTTGCGTACTTTTGTGCATGTGAAGCGCTTTCGGCAGCTGCTGGTGGTGTAAATGTGCTATACAAAAAAAGCTGACTTTGGCATTGATTGGTATTAAGATCAGGATAGAATCACACCAACACATGACGGCTCAATATTTACATCTCTCTATTAACGCAAAAAATGTCTGTCTGTCTGTGGAGCGCATGCATCGCTGAAAGATTGTCCCGATCGACCTGAGCGTTCGTCTACGGTTTTGCGATTAGCCTTATAAACATTTAATTTTGATTAATCACACAGTTAGAAAATAGCAGTAACTCACAGTTAAGTAGTCTGCGCAGATATTCTGAAACATTTTGGTGATATCGTCTTAACCACAGCAACAATTTCTTCTGTTAGACCAAATTTGCATTGAACATGCTTTTTATTCAAGACG